TTTAATTAAATAATTTTAAACATTCTGATTGTTCAAAATTTTTTTGTTTAATGAAATATGATTTCAAAAAACTGAGAACGTCTATCAAATTGCTACTTAGGCGTGTCCTTTGTTTACTCACTAAATTTTCTGAAATAGAAAATTCAGAAAATACTCTCACACTTGCGACCAAATTATGCTTAATTGTTTTTAAAGCCTGATATAATAATTCTAAGTTTTTTGTTTTTTAATTTGTGGTTTCTAGATTTAAATTAATATGTACACTGGTATAAAAATCTAAATTAATATATACAAAACTTTTCTGGGACCATTGCAGACTGACGACATATAAAATGCTATTGAACCGATATGATTTCAAGATTCAAAACGCTTTCATCAATCTTTTATATTTGGCTATATTTGTCATTTTCCATTTATACAGAGAAAACCGACTTTTTTCACTAAAAAACCGGTTTTCGAATTCCATAATTTTCGCCCAAAAAAACGGTTTTTGAAAACCGACAAACCCTAATAGAGTCCAATTAAATAAAATATCGGCTATATTTCAGTTTTCTAAAGAGGATCGAAGTGCAATTAAATATTATCAATTATTGTACAAAATATTATATTATTTTCACTATATATATTTACATATTAAATATTACGTCTGGTAAATTATTTCAAAGTAAAATTTCTGTAATTTAATGAATAAACTTGAATTACGCAGCCACAGTTCGCAATTGCTAGATCGCCTGTTCGATATGACGAATCTGTTAAAGTGCAAACAGAATGCGGACGTTGAGACAGTTAATATCTCTTAAGAAATAAATAAGTGTTGGCATCTCAAACGCGATCTATCCCAAGGCTACGTATAAACTAAACACGATAAAGCTTGAAATAAACTTCAGGTATACTCATAAACACATATAAGCTCACACACTTTATTTGAACACGTACAAAACATTGAACATGAACATTGAATTACATATGCAGATATATATATATATATATATATATATATATATATATATTTACATATACATATATACAGGGTGTCCCAGAACTCAACGTCAAGTCAAAAAGGGGTGACCGTAACTATCACGGTTAAATGTATCCCCAGTTGTTTGAAAATTATGAGCTTTTTTTTAAGCCTAGAGTCAAACAGTCCTTTGTCCATCATTAATAACGTTTAATTTTCATTATTTTTGTAACTATGAATTTAAAATTTTAAAAATCGATCCACTTTGAAATGTTTGAAAAAAAATGTACTAAAATATAAGCAAATACCAACAAAAGTTTACATATTTATTCAGGATTATAAAATGGTATAATACTTAAATAATAAAAAAAAACGAATAAAAAATAAAAACTTAAAAATAACGCAATTTTTGCAAGTATGGACTTCCAATTTTTTAGAAGCAATATTTGTCCCTAATTCTCTAGAATGTTTGAAAAGTATAGATTGATTTTTTTTTTAAATTTATTTATATGGCGTCAATACTAGGGCTAAGGTTGAAATTGAATCACTGCTCTTTCATTGATTACAACAACCCACCAAATAATCAAAATGATATTTACGACGAGAACAGGTTATATGAAACTATATATGTAACTTATTGTGTGATTTAAAATATCGATTTAATACTTTTTAAATTCCATTTTTAAATTTACGAAAAACAGCAAAATGAAAAAGATTATTCTGATTGCCAGACTCAAATTCTTTAAATAAGTGGCAACAATCGACTTGAAATACTAAAAGCAATAGATTTTACTAAAGTTAATTATGAAAAAAATTGTTAGCTACAAATTGCAAAGCGTAATTACAAGTTACCTTAAGTTATGAACATTTTCAGCTCTAGCATGAATATTTATACATTGCTTACAATCTTTTAACAAAGTCATTTGGTGTGCATGTGCTAAATATTCAGTTTTGATAATTTGATGATTTTGGCAATGATTTTTATGCAATTTGTTCCGTGTTTCCAAATCCACGGAAATTGCTTTTGCCAACCATCTATCTTCGAAATGAATATTTTCAAATCCGAAATTTAATTATTACAACTTAAGTCATAAACTTGTTGAAAGCCCTATAATAAAACTAGCTTTTTCATTTAATACTTTAGAGTTTAGAACTATCAACAGCCAGAATATATAATCTTCACAACATATTGCGACCAAAAAAAATATTTCTACATGCTACAACTTGCACATTTTTATCAAAACTTACTATTTTTTCACTTCTCAGGTCTATTTATAAATATTGTACATGATTTTTTTTTATTATGGATAGTATAATATGATATTTTGTAGTTCACTAGCGTGGACCCATATTTTCATTTCGTGGATTCACAAATTTCCTTTTCGATGCTATAGACCGCTTGAAAGTTCTCATGGACCCCCGGAGGAGCATATGACCATTTTGGGAATCGATTTTAGATGGACTGGGTGTTAGACTATTCAACAAAGTGCCATTAAGTATTAGAGAATTAGGAAATGAGGAATTTTATGCAATTTTAATTAATAACATTTATAAGGAATTTGTTTTTTACACATTGATAAATATATAAGCAATATCTTCGTGCCATGATCATCATCTAACTAAAATTTTGTGTACTCTTTTTTAAACTAAACTTTAAACTAGTGGAGTGCATGGCATCGTGCCTTAAGGCAAATTGCTGTAACATCCCGTACCGTAATTAACAATCTTGGTACGGAACCGAAAAAAATGTACACAAAATCTGTACACATTATTAAAATCTCTATAAAATATTGATAAATTGTCACATATAATTGTACATATGTCCAATAAACATTTTTGAGCGCCAAATTACCTTATTTTTAATGAGAGTCCATAACCGCTGGACCTGCCTTCCCAAAAATTTAATCAGTTCTTCATCTTGTCAATACAAGTAAAACCTTTTATTTTACTTGATTGATTATTAAAATCGAAAGCTCCGTTCCTTTAGAAACTGAGTTACCGTTTTTGACCCGTATCTTCGAAACAGCTAGACCTGCCTTTGCCAAAAACTAATCAGAACGTTCCTTATTAATACGAATCGAATGTTTTCTTAATTATTGAAATCGGCTGATCGGTGTTTCCCAAATCGTCGACGAAATATTATATCCGCACACTCACACACATTTTTTCTAAGGTATGCCAAAATATTCAGAAACCTTTCAAACGTAAAGATATATACAAATTTTCATTTTCGATTTTTTTGCGATTACTATAACTACGGGAAGTTAATAAGGCTATTGAATAAATATTTGCTATTCAAATTACAATGTAAAATGTATAGAATTATGTATTATTTATACTAGTTGTTATAATAAATGATAATATGAAGCATTTAAATAAGGGTCTCCTCAAAAGCGGAAGGAATTTTCCTCGTATCATGAAAACGTCGTTCACCCGAAAAGGTTTCAAGAAATTGTATTTGAATATTCATATGTATACAGAACACTAGCATACATCCATTTTTGTTTAATTTTTGTCAGGTTTTGAAATGCAAAGAAATCAAAAAATATTTGCCATTTATACAACTTACCCCTAAGCGATTTGCATCATTCCCAGTTTGGCACGAAGCACTCACCAATTTGTGTAATTGTTTTCGAAGTAACATTACTTGAGATTCACTATATTAATTCACTTAGGGTGCATTCGACTTGGACGCTTACGCGCTGTGAGCGCTCACGCTTATAAGCACGAATTTTTAGCGTTCGACTTGGCCGATAAGCGCTCAGAATCGATAACTGAAATCCGTTCGTTTTGGAAACTGTGAGCGTCAATAAGCATCAAAATGGCGGCAACTGGTGGTAACGGTAATTGTGTAAATTTTATTACTTTCTGGATCATTCAGCGGGATTATAAAGAATTTAACAATTAATAAATAAATGAAATTTCGTTTGCTTATGCTTAATTCATATTAACATTAAAATTAAAATTTAAAATGATTTAAAATTAATTAAATTTAAAATTAATTAATATTAATATTAATATTAAAAAAATAATTGTGTTATACAACTTGGCATTTTTGCGGGATTATAAAAAATTTAACAATTAATGAATAAATGAAATTTGGTTAGCTTATGCTTAATTAATAGTAATATTAAAATTAAAATTTAAAATTATTTAATATTAATATTAATATTAAAAAATAAATGTGATATACAACTTGGCATTTTTGCGGGATTATATAGAATTTAACAATTAATAAATAAATGAAATTTGGTCAGCTCATGCTTAATTAATAGTAATATCAAAATTGAAATTTAAAATTATTTAAAATTAATTAAATTTAAAATTAATTAATATCAATATTAATATTAAAAAATAATTGTGATCTACAGCTTGCCATTTTTGCGGAATTATAAAGAATTTGACAATTAATAAACAAATGAAATGACAGATAGTAAAAACAACTGACGCTCACGCTCACGCTGCCCTACCTCTGTGGCGTGAGCGTATGTGAGCGCAAAATATGTGCTACGAGCATCCTACGATGGTGCTACGAGCGTGCTTATGTGACACTCACAGCGCCAAGTCGAACGATGAAAGCGCGCTCACAGCGCGCTCACAGCGCGTAAGCGTCCAAGTCGAATGCACCCTTATACTTACTTAATAAGAATAAATAAACAAATAAAAGACGTTTGTGAACAAATGCTTTCTTATTTGAAGTATATACCATTTTCGCAAAATTAATAAATAAATATGTCTACCTGTCAAAATTTGAGTCAAATCTCATAATGGTCTGAAGTAGTCGTTAAACACATTTTTAAAATACCACCCGCACGTCGTAAAATTTTTCTTAACACAAAATAAATTATAAGTTCAGATCGTAAATAGATAAACAAGTAAAAATGGTTCAGATTATGTCAATATCTAAATAAGATTACAATTTTTAATGCAGTTATCAATAAATCCCAGGTGGTATTTATGTGCATGTTCTCAAGTTAATAGAATAAAAAATGTGAAGTAATGATAATATTATAACTAAAAACTATAATAAAAAGATGCAAAACTTTGTATACATAAAAGTGTGAAAATGAGAAGTGATTAAAAATAAAATAATGAATAACAATTTTTCAGGTACTGATTATAGTAATATATACGATATGAAATACGATTCGAATGATATGGGCATATCTTACTAACAAGTGATTTACTTTGCCACATGGACTCTAGATGACAATTATATATGTAAAGAGCATTAAACATATGAACAAGTAAGTGAAAGTCTTGTAATTTAATTTTAGTTTACATTTTATTTATAGTTGATTTTTGATTTCATAAAAATACATCTTAACTAATATATTAACTTATTAATTTGTCGCCTTCTTAACAAACTCTTCCGCCATTTGCCGGACCTTGTTCACGGCATCTTCATCACCAAATTTCTTCTCAAAATCTAAAAATTTCTTGAATATAATCTTCATTTTCTTAGCTGGTAATGATAGCGAACTAGCTCTTCTTAGTACATCCCTGGCAATATCAATTTGTGAGTTTTTAATAAGCATGTCGATATATTGAGACCAAATATCAATCCTTCGAGGGTAGGATGTCAAAACTTGCTCTAAAAGCGCCTGTGCACGATCAGAGTTTTCAAACTGATTCTCCATAAAAGCGAAGCGAGTTAATAAATCCACATGTCTATTATTTTCTAATACATTCAAACCCTTTTGCATGATTTGTCGTGCTTTGTCTACTAATTTAGCTTTAAAACAAGCTCGTCCTACATCTAACCAACATTCTAATTTATGACTATATTTTTTCAAGACTTTATTGATTAAATCACTCAACTCCTGCACTTTATAGCTTTCCGACAACATCTGAATTGCTTGCATGTGAATGCTATAAGCGTCATTTGTTTGAAGTGCTTCCTGTAATGTTTCATTAAATGTTTCCTTTGTTCCAAAACGATTTTCAAGATTTAATAATGCTATCCAAACATTTAACTTCTCCTGCTCCTCTCTAAAAGATATGTTTGAGAAAGCCTTTCGTGCAACTGCTCTAGCCTTTTCGATCTCTGTTCCTTGTAAATGATATGCCATATAATTTATCCATGTCTTGGAATCATTAGGATTAGCGAGTAGTAGCCTATCGAAATGGTCTGCTGATTGCGGATTTTCATATGATTCCGCAAACTTCAATTCATTTTCACGAATTTTTTTCTCGTCATTTCGTATAGTTTCTTCTTTCTCTTTACTTTTAACTTTCTTCTTAATAGTTTCACTTTCATCTTCTGACTCTTCACTTGAAGAAATAGCAGTTGTATTTTGTCGTAGACATTCCACATTCATATTGAAAAAATCGTTTGCTTTCAATAAACCTTGTTGCGAGTGATTCTTTTTAATACTAATTTCTGTATCATTCTTATTTACTTGATCTTCACAATCTGAAACTTCCATTTGTTCTTTTTTTAAATCTACATTATCCTGTTCACTTGAGGCTGTAGAAACTTTTCGTTTTTTCTTTACAACAGAATTTTCTGCAACGACACTATCAATTTGCTGAGCATCACGCTTTTCAGATTTATTATTTTCAGTCAATTTATGTTTTGAAATTTTTGTGAGTTCTACATTTTCTTTCTCCACAATGTCATTACTTTGCTGCACTAAATTGTTTTGCTTTTTAGTGTTCTTTAATTCGGCATTCATTGACAAAGTCATTCTGGAACTACTTTTATCTATTTTGACGATTGTACAATCTATAACTTGTCCTACAAAAAATAATTTGTTTGAATCACCTGCATTTTGAAAACCAAATTGTTGTTTGGGCAAGAAACCTTTCAATCCATTGAAAAACACTACTACTAAACCAGAAGGAATTATTTGAACAACTACACCTTTGTATATTTTATTGAATTGAGCATCGTTCATGCTGAACAAAAGTGAAGCAGTATTTTCCATTAAACTAGGCTTCATTGTTAAATATAATTGTTCTGTTTCGGTATTTACATCCAATACTTTGCACTTAACAGTTTGATCCACAGTAAATCTGGTTGTCATGGAAGATTTTTGTATGGGAAAGTCGGATACATGCAAAGAAGTTATTACTCCTACAACATTACCAACTTTAACCATGAGCCGTTTGTTGTTAACATTTTGTACCGTAGCACTAACGATTTGACCCGCGGTTAGATCATTAATGGTAAAAATTTTTTCATTTAACACGTTTTTCTCATTTGAACATATATAGCTATTATCCATGAAATCGAAAGACAAAATACGAATGCAATGAGTTGTACCTCTTGTGAATTTCAGCAACATCTCACTTAGATCATTGTCTTTGCTGGTTTTCACTCTCTTAAAAGGGATAAAACCCCTGGCATGACGAGGTAGACTTAAATAAATTCCTTTAGCTGATCTTGAAATTACTTTGCCCTGCATTGTATCTCCAATTTTGATATTTTCAGACGTTGAAATAGGTTCTAGATCTCTGATAGCAAGATATGTTATTTTTACGGTAGGGACTATATACAAAACAATTGCATCAATAATTTGACCAACATTGTATTTTGAAGTATCGCAATTCAACTTCTTGAGATATGAGATTCCAACATAACCTATATATTTATCCATGAACTTCAGTTGCAAACCATTTTTCAAAATCTTTTCGATAGTAGCTTCAACTCTCATTCCAGGTAATATACTATTCAATGATGTTACATCAGATATGACAGATTTAGCACTATTTACTTCCAAAGCTGATAAAACCATAGTTGTTACTAAAGGCGTTGAAGTAATTTTAGAAACGCTGCACCATATTAATTCACCAATACCTAGCCTTCCATATTTTTGTGGTACATGTGAATTAGGTAAAAATGCTCGACAACGTGTAATTCCAAAATCAACAACATATCCATGGTCTTCAATACTTTGAACAGCTACCATATGTATAGAACCTGTAGTAATCTCAGTCGATTTTATTTCTTTATGTGTATCACAAGGATCTAGAGATAAATTTACACTGAATTTTGTTGCGGCATCAGGTGCAAGAACTTTTACACATACAAGTTGACCTGGACTGAACATTTGTTTCAATGTTTTATGATCATCACTTGTAAATTGGGGATCATCGACAAACTTTTGCAGGTTATTGGAATAAGGTTTCGATATGTTTGTGACCATAACATAACCATAGATCCGGCCGGGCAGAGAAACTTGAATTGCCATTTCATTCACTTTATGAACACATCCTAGAATAATCATACCATCTTTAATGCTCTTATAGCACAATCCTTCGAAAGATGTTGGTGTAATACTGTTTTCATGTTTTTCATTTTTCTTATCAAGAGCTTTTTGTCTTTGTTTCTTTGTGGCAGTTTTTTTTTTAGTTTTTACAACAGCAGTATTACCAAATAGTGTAGTAGTAGCTTTTTGTTTCTCATTTTTCTTCACAATTTGCCCTCCTCGCGGAAAATCATTAAGGGAAGCATCCATAATAATATAATAATTTTAATCACTTGCAGAAAAGTATCGTTACAATTTCCTTCAAAGAAACAAGATGTTAGTTATCCCCAAATTTTATATACAAAATATTTGATGATACATTTAACTCCAACAATATTCAGAAGAACGGAATTGTTGTAATATATTTGAGGTTAATACTAGTGCACGTGTTCTGACACTGCTTTCGCTTTCCTTGTAGTAGTAAGTTTGACGTTTGCTTGGTACCATAGAACTGTTATTCTGTTCTTCGGCGAGAGTTAGGTGTTCGAACAAATAAGCTTTGAGCATAGACAAATTACAAAGAAGAGTGGGTGATGATGTATCTATCAATTTTGAATTTGTTGTTGGCATTGAAAAAGTACAATAATCGGGTAATTTAATATAAAACATGAATTACTTATATTATTATCATAAAATCTATACATTTTATTTTAAAATTTCATATCAACATATGGAACAATCGTTATTGAGAATTAAAAGTAAAAAAGTTTTTTTTAACTTCCCAAAGGAGAAGTTTATGTTTTCATCAAAAAATCCGATTCGCTAATTTCTCCACGTTTTCTCGACGTTTCAACCCATTCTGAATCGAATGAGACCGCATTTGAAATAAATATATGCGTGTGTGTTAACCGTAAAACCGCGTTTTCTCAAAAACGGCTGGACCAATTTCAGAAATTCAAAAGCTGTTTGATGTATCTCAATGAGGACTATCGTTTGTCAGTTTTGTGCTACGATCTGCCAAGCCATTTCTTTGTAATTTGCAAAAAAGTGTTAAACTTTTTATCCACATTTAAGCTCATACTACCGAATCGATTTAAAAAAATCAAGAACTGTTTGAATGATATTAGTTGGTAATGATACTGATTAGTTTTAGGTGAAAATCTACCGAGTCGTTTTCTTGTAATTATGTCTTATAGAACTTATAAGAATATTATGGTCTTATAGAACTTTCTGAAATATTACGGTCTTACGACAAGTAGTTTAATTTTAAAAATTTATCAAAGTTTGAGTAAATGCGAGTTTTTTTTGACGTTTGTTAAAATTAAAATTAGACGATTTACGTTGTATAATGATAGAGAACTTGGTCTTAATTAACATACTAAACAATTAAAGTCCTACGGAAACTGGTACAATTGAAAAAATGTTGATTTTTGAAAACTTGCTTCTAGAAAATACTTCAATTGTGTTTAATAAATTTACTCGGTATACTTTTAATCACTCACAATAAAATTAATTCATTTTTTATTGATTAAGTCGATTATTTACACATATCAGGAAGTTCATGTAACTTGCCTCAAGGCAAAATACCAATACCAAGTTTATTCTTATTTTATAGTAACGGTCAACGGTCAAAAAGTAAAACTTTAGATTAATCATTAATGACTTTAAAAATCAAAATCTTCTAATCTTTGTCAAAGATTCTGAAAAATGACATATGTTAAATAACATGAATTTCTTTTTCAATCTTGCTCTGGTAGCTTACGAATATTTGAAATTTTTCGACAATAATTTTATTACCTCATAAACTTCGTAATAGAATTAAAAAAACAAATATCTGTATCACGCAGTTCATCTGATTGTCTTTGCTTATTGCGCTTTTTATTGTTCTTGTTTTGATGAAAAATTGTTCCTCAATTATAATTTGTAAGGTTAATAGAGTTATATTCCTAGATTAGATTTCTGTTGAAATTCTATATTTGCTCATATTTATATAAATATTCTCAATTCCTTTTAAATATTTCGAAAAAAATGAATAGTTGTTAAATTTTTATTATATGCAAAAAGTATTTGACTGTTTATTTCCAAAAATACTGTTTAACTAATCAATGTTGAAACTTATCAATGCAAAATTAGAATTAATATCGGTTTTAATTTCGAAGGCAACTAAGAAATTGCTATTAATTAAGGTTAGTTATAAAGTTACTCACACATGCACAGATATATATATATATATATATATATATATACCTGTACGTCTGTGTGTAATATTAATTTCTTCGTTTGCTTTATCTGAAAATGTAAAATGTAATTACCGTAGTTACTGCAGCTTATATGAATGAGGCTATAATTTCGTTTCGAAGTGCGTCTGAAATTAAATTAACTATTGGTTATCATGAAAACCAATAAAATAAACGAATAAACAATGTACGTGTTACAAACAAATTTCAATTTAATATAAAATAAATTGGATTATTTTCGATCCTAATTAGAAATTATTTATATAGGATACACGTAGAAATTTCTATATAGGTATATGTAGAGTATTGATTCGCATAGTTGTGCATTTTATTTATCAATAGTTAGGTATTATTTGAATTGACCATTCAAGCTGTTATTCTGTGCAATATAATTGTAAAAAATATATGGCTTGCAAACGTAATTGTATGATGTAGATTCATTTTCCTGTACATTTGCCTAATTGTTTAAGAGGAAGACTAGGACTGATTTACCAGTTTCAAGAATTTATTTGTTGCGAAGTCTATAAATCATGTGGGAAAAAATATCATTTTTCTCAATAATTTTAACAGCTTTCCCAGGTGTAGACAAAATTGACTGCGTATTGACTCCTTTTGCTAAATTAGAATAAGCTTTTAATTACTAAACTTATGTAAAGGTTTAAAGATCCCATATACTCCTTATGTTCAGTTTTTTTATTTTGATTTAGATCTGCATTCTATGTGGGTTACAATTTAGTTCAATTTATAAATTTATTTATAACAAGTTCTTGCTTCAAAAGTACTTTCATACCACCAAGCTCATTTTCCGAGAGATTTTCATAAATATATTGCTATCTTCGACTGTGGATTTATTAGATGTATCTACCATAAATAATCTGAGATCTATACCAGGCTATATAATAGTAACGTTATTCACTCTTAAATCTTGTGATCTAGATCCAGTCTTTCTGCACATCCGGGTACTTAGCTACAGCGAACTAAAATCCATTCACAGATTTATTCGAGCTACTTTGCGGATTGTTTGATACTAGGTTCGCTAATGAAGCCGTTCTAAAGACTTTGCTATTATCATTAAACAATGAACTCGATCCTAAAAAAATAGATTATCTATTTATTTATAGCACAGTAGGCGTATAAGATCTAGTAATTAAGATCTACATTGTGAATCTTGAGACATTTGACTTAATTAGCTAAAAGTAACAGTTAATTGCTCAAGGAAGAGAGTATGTAAAAGTAAAGGTTTACATAAATAAAAAAATTACTTCTATAAAAATATATTCAGTTGTTTTCTAAGGACATTGTAAATAAATATAATGTAGATCTTAATTACTAGATTTTATACGCCTACTGTGCTCTAAACCTATTGTGGCGGGAATAGCTCACTCAGTAGCGTTCTCGACTCACACGCTGGAGGAATTCGGTTCGAATCTCCAGCAATACCAGAATTAAAAAATATAAAATATTAAAGTAAATTAAGAATTGTTAATTTGTAGAATACAAGGAAAAAATTGTATTAGAAGTAAGAAGGAAAAAAGAAGTTTAGTTTAGAAGATGAGAAGAGCATATTGAGAAACAAGAAGAAGAATGAAAATTGAATGGAATTGGAGAAAGAAAATTGAATGGAAGATTAGGATATAAGAAGAGATAGTATATATATGCTGAATGTATAAGAAATATATATGTAAGAATTGTATAGAATATGATGAAAAATAATATGAATAATGTAGGTGGCTAAAAATGTTGTAAAAACGAAGACCTGTAAATATATAAATAAACTCCTCCATTTTATAGATATAACTAGAAACAGTACACTTTCTATATTAGTATAGGTTTAAAGGTCCGCGGGTAGAAAGGTCCACCACCGATATCTCAAAAACCAGTAAAGTTAAGAATTTTTTAACAATATTTGAAAGTTGAAGGAAAAAGATGTATAACCAAAAACCATTTTTACTACGTTGCTATCGGAGAAAAAACGGCAATGTTTAAAAATCTATAACAAAAGTATTTTCTTGCGTTGTTATTTGTTTTGATTGTGAGCACTGTTGCTTAGTTTTTCAGACAGTTTTATATAAATAATTTTAAGTTAGATTCATTTTTTGATTTAACCTTTATAAACACCTGAGTGCGGATAAAGGGAAGAATTAAACCTTCACCTTGCCAGGGTGCAAAACATAAAAAATTGTGCCTCGCCCTACCCTACATAATCACAGCAGCTTATAGAACTCTGAAATTCTTATTGCTATTTATAAACACGTACAAAATCTATTTTACATCAATTGGAAACTTTTAGTTATCACACATCACATTGAAATAAAGCTCTGATTGATCAAATTGTTGTCGAATAAAGTTATATTATCTACCGTTGATAGTAAATTAGCAGAATCTCCATTCACCGTGCCTATTTTATGTATTTAATTATAATTTGATGCTAATTAATGTAGCAAATTAAGTGAAATATAGTTATTTTCAATATAATTTTCTTATAGTTAATTATGAGTCAATTATGCTTTCGCATATGTGGTATTATCGTATGAGTCACTTATAGTAAACAACACACAAATATGCAATAAGTAAACTATTGAAATGTGTGTATGATTATACGTGTAAACGTATCATGTTAATATGACCTTGATACTTGTTACTTCCTGGCTAGCTATATTTATTTATATGGATATATACCATCATTAAATATATATTAGTGCCGGTGCTGGATGAAAATCAGTTCGCCCAATATTAGTATCTGATTCTAGCAGAAACTTTACTATTTATCAATCATATGAGTATCGGCGCTGCAACGGTAAGTAGCAAATTTTGTCTTTCCCAAACTTATATCAAGCAGTAGTGATATTATTATCTCCCAGAATTGCTAAAGATAGCTTAAAAAAGTTTCATCACTATTAGAATACGATAACCATTGGGGTGCTTCCTTAAAAGGCCACACAGTAGAGTAGTCAGTGTAGATATGCAATGTTGAAAATGCAAAATAAGAAAGCTAAACTTTAGATAAAATTATTATTTAATATTATTTAATTATAAATTATATTTTAGTTTACATAAAAGTTTTTGCTGTTTTGGAATTGTCTGCACTTAATCTTTCAAGGAATAATAAGCTACCATAATAATTTGTTAAAGTGTCTGAGGTATAATATCGAATGCTATTCCAGTCGTCTGATGACTAGAATTCGCGAATAATATTAAATGAAATAGAGTGCACCTT